TACTGAAACAATCGGATTTCGAAATCAAACAGTAACTTATTCATTGAATTGTTCAAATTGATGTCAATTTTTCCTAACACACAATTGACACACTATTTCAAAACGTCTCAATACAGTAAGAGGCACAACAATCTTGAAGACGCAGTTTTCCAGAAATAACAAAAACATCTTTTGATGATTTTGATTGCATAGACGTAGGTGTTGTGGAATTGTGTGAGGGGAAAAGCTCATCAGTTTGAACAATTCAATGAATAAGTTACTAAATAATTCCGAAATTCAATTTTTTTAGCAATTTAGTCAGGTGCTTATTCTAAATTTTGAACTTTTTATTACTATTCATTTGTTGCTATCACGTAACTAAGTTTCGTGTTTTATTAGTTGATTAGTGTTGGTATTGTTTTTGTCCTCTTCATGGTAAAATCGAGGGAAATATTCCTTCAATTGGAACTTTTTTATATGAAAAATCTATCCAATTTGTTTAAAATTCAATGTTTTAGTGGTTTTGGAGCATTTTCGAGTTTTTTATATTTATACATTATATATCATTTTGGAGGGAAAGAAAATAGAAATTCAATGAGCTGATCAAATACAGGGTGTTTCAGTTAAAAAATCATAATTTTGAGTCGTATCTCCAGAGCGATTCCCCGAAAAAAAATTGGGTGCGCCACTGGATCCTGCCTGAAATTCTCTATGGGCTAAGATTTCAATTCGACATATTTGCTCAGAATTTTCGAAAATAAAGAGGGGGTCCAAAAGGTATGAATTTTCAAAATTTCCCTATATCTCAAAAACGGAAACAGTTATGCAAAATCTGATTAGGCCATCCTGAGTTTCACAAAAAAGTTGCATGGACCTGCGTGAACCGCAAGGTTCTATCTCCAAAGATAACGCGGATGCATCGAAAACTGGACACACTGTACACTGTCCGTAAATATCGGAACATGCTCTATGTCTACACACAAGTATCGGTCACTTTCAGTGAATTCTTTCGATTTCGGAATGAAAAATCAGCAGAATTAGTACTGTCAGTTGAATTAGGAATATGCAACAAAAGGCGACAATCACCAAATCAAGAAGATGAATGGGAAAATTTCACATCTAACATTTTCAACAAATTGAAAGCATGTATTTTGTATTGTTACCATAGCATTTGAACAAATGAAATGCAATGAGCTAATTTCTCTGATATTGAATAGTATACTTCGAGTTTCTCGTGAGAAAATATATTTCTACCAACTTAGGTAAAATCAATTTGTAAAGCACTGAGAAATTGGGCTACTATCAACTTATTTTCTGTTAGTTTGTGCAACCTAAGTAGGTCAATTATTTTCAATTGTCATGTTATGTATATGTATTATATTAATACTGTCAAGTTCCTTGTAACAAAATATATTTCCACCAACTTTAGTGGTACGAAAATCAGTCAAGAATAATAGTTTGAACTACCATCACCTGCTTTATTGATATTCAGCGTAACTAAAGTCGGTATTTTACATTTCATTCAGCGTAATCTCACCCTAATATATTTTGTTTCAATTCGGTGTGGAATTGTCCAACCGAATATAACTCTATCCCCAATCAAAAAAATATTTTGGAAATTCATTTTCTCGAATAAAATGCCGGTAATAATAAGCTCTCGTGGAATTATTATAAGTGAAGGTGGAAATATTCGATTTGGCTCCCCATTCCATCTCAAACGTCCTAAAGGATTAAATGTCAATAAACGCAGTTATCTTGGAAATAGTGCGCTTTCTGATGTTTTTCACGTGTAACTCGTTATTCCTAATTGACAGTTAAAAAGAGAATATTATACAATAAGCGCATACTGATGACTGAAAAATGCTGTACCTACGTGACGAAGGTAAGTGTAGGTAACTACTGTAATCATCTGAGTGGGTAATAGCCATGCATTATACGTACGCGAGTAGAAAACTGAACTTTAGTTTTAACATCCCGATTCATTAGGTAATGTGTTGGTTCTACAACTGTTATGGGACTGACGCCCTTTCAAACATAATATCTGGCTGTTTGTTTGGATGTAAATGAAATATATGGAAATCTTATCTGAGCTTCTTCCGACGACAGCTGCGACTGTTACTTCCGGTTGATTGTTGCTCATTCGACTAGCATGATAGGAAAACCGCAGCAAATCATGATAACATCAATGTACGAATCAATCCTGATAATGGTATAATGATATCTTACTCATATACAGTGTCATTCATGAATTCGGCATCATTTGGGAAAAACTGTTAATAAATTTATTTTGGAATTCGACTTGGGCGTTGAGTTTTGCTTTTAAAAAGATGAAAAATGGCCTACTCGGTCACACTGAGAGAACCTGGATATTAGAAATATCTACCAGCTCTGATTGTAATAACCATTATAAAGAATAAATCTCCTGTTCCTGATCATTTCATTATTACAACAGTATTCTCTCCATTCTGTTATTACTAAATCGCTTACTTAAACCATTTGTAATACCTTTGAATGGAAATTTGCTACCATCATAACGCAGGTGTGTTATCGCATTATGAGAATTTTATAAATTCTAGTCTATTTGAATTTTTTATGCTGGTCTTGTGAATTATGCTTATTGGTGAATTCAGATGATGTTTTTGTTCCAATAATTATAGCTGTTTGGGTTCCTAGCATTGTACGTTTACGAATAACTATAGCAATTCACATGTATGACGGTTATTAGACAATCATTCGACAATCGTAATTCGGCTCATTTCGCTCGAATCAATTTGTAATTCATGTTATCTAGACTAACATTTCCCTTCAGTTTTTTTATTTCTTCAGGAATGGAATAGGTGGGAGGGCGTTCAATTCAAGAGGTGCACCCTGCAAGCATGATTTTAGGTTGATGTTTGTTGTTATTATATTGATGTGTGCAAACATTTATCGAATACGGACAGTTGATTGAAGAGTGATTATGGGAATGGCTAAAAAATAATGTCCAGGTGATTGAATCAATGGCCTGGGTTCATCGATATGATAACTGCAAGTGATTGGTCGATGTACAATAAACATTAGTACAATGCTTGATATTTATGTACTCATGGGATTGTATCGATGAAAATGATGATTGACTAATACACAATTGACAGTAGAAGTATGTTCATATTTTATAGCTCAGATGATCAAATTAATGCCTCTACAGGATTGATATAGTCACTTGAACGTCAGGCAATCATTAACAATACATCAAATCAATGAATTCGAGCATCGGTTGAAAATTGATGTCGAAATACATTTTCACGATCATTTTTTTCTTCAATTAAATATACGTTCATTTTTGGTTCTGTGTACGAGATTTTCTGGAACTGAGACATGTTAATTCGCCAATATTTCGAAAACTGTCGAGTGTAGGCATAGATAACCTAAGTCAAAGTTAGCTTCATTTTCGATGCCGAATCGAATAGGAATATGAAAATGAAGGGTTTCCATTTGAAACAATTGACTCACAATATTTCTTTGAACCAAATCTATATCATTTTCTGGTGAACGCCCTGTATAACTGTAATCGAATTGATATCGAAATTCTACTGAACTAAGTCCTCTCCTACGAATAATTCGATACACAATCTGAAATGAATGATCATGTCCAGAAATGAAAAAATAGTTATCTATACACCAAGGTAGTAAATAATATCATTATTATCCAAGGACCAAGATTATATCCAGAGGCTTCAACCGAAGGGTATAAGGTCCCGTGGTGTACATTAAATGGTGTATATTGAAGTTTTCTCACCACATGCAATATATTTCAATCATTATTGACTAGTGGTTCATAATATGACGAAAACTACCATGGTAGTGAAAACACACTTCACGCTTCGAAAAGGAGTATATAATGGTAGGTTCTACACTGAGAGAATCTGGATATTAACAATATCTACCAGCTCTGATTGTAATCATCATTATAAAGAAATCTCCTATTCCTGATCATTTTATTATTACAACAGTATTCTCTCCATTCTGTAGTTATTGAAATCGCTTTCATAAACCATTTTGTAATACCTCTGAATGGACATTTGCTACCATCAAAACGCCAGTGTGTTATGACATTATGAAAATTTCATAAATTTCAGTCTATTCAGATTTTTTATCGACATAGCCCGTTCAGTGAATTATGCTCGTTGGTAAATTCAGATAATGTTTGTCCTAATAATCATAGATGTTTGGGTTACTAGCATTGTACGTTGACGAATAACTATAGCAATTCATATGTATGACGGTTATTAGACAATCATTCGACAAGCTCAATTCAGCTCATTAAGCTCTAGTTTTTCATTAGTTTTGGGGCTGACAAAGCTACAGATCGCGTTCATTTTCACTTCTGTTCTCGGTCATGGGTGCCCGTGTTCAATTATTGTTTAATGGTTTCGATCGTCCGAATCGATAGAGCCGTGTCTTGTCGGTGAAGGTGTGTCATGTAGCAAAATGTTGTTTTAGTGCTGGCTGTGAACCGAGCTGTGCTTTGCATTACTGCAATGAACAAAGTATTCTCCATATCCACTTTTCACGGCCTAAAATTGGTTTATTTCGAAAAACGAAATGATCGATGAGTTCCTGAATCAAAATATCTGGGTTTCTGTGAAAAAAGTTTTATCGACAATTCTCATCATAACTTCGTAGGAAGAGTAAATGTAAGTAAGGTAAGGTGGGGTAAATGGGCCCAGGGTCTAACTGGGCCATAGGCTTTTGATAAATTAGACTTATGAGTGATGGCTGCGATTTATACAAAAAACTTTAGCATTTCATGCCACAGAACTCAAACAACTAAGAATGATTTCGTGATTTGACATTTTGTTGTCATAATGGCCGCCAACGTGTGAAGTGGAATTTTCGAGGTAAGCAACAGCCGTCTATATTAAATTTGATTTGGTGTAGGAATGACTGGAACTGCCTCAGGTTTTTTTTTCATGTGCCGTCATCTTATCAATGTATTGAAATATGATATGTATTGATTGATTGATCGAATTTTATTTAAGGTTAAGTTTAATAGGGGGGGTCCCAGTTCGCCCAAGAAAATCGCAGTTTCGTTTAACTGGGACCACACGTTCCGGGAAACTGGGATCGCCTGGCGGTCCCAGTTATACGGCATGTATAAGGTGCCTGCCATGGCTGATTTTTAGTGCACAGCAACCACTAGTACAAGAATAATTTTAAGTTTCAAGTACCTGCAATGGCTGTTTTATAGTACCTACCTTGTGGAATTAAGAATATTTTTTAGTTTTACTTGCCTGCAATGGCAGTTTTTCTGTACCTGCAATGATTACTCTTAAAGCTTTATTTTACTTCGCATAATAAAACATGTTATCTATAGTTTTTCTGTTTTTACTACTAGTCGAGCTACTAGTTGAGCCTCATTACAAGTCATAAATAAAAAAAACTATGAATGCGAGACACTTCATATTTTTTCCAGTATTTATCTACACCCAAATAAGTGTCCCTGTTACCCACATATCATTCTGACCGATGTTGTATTAAAAATAAATGGGGGGGTTCCAGTTACTCCAAATTTTCCGGTTAACTGGGCCCACCGACAAGAAAAAAAAAAAATTTTTCTGAAAAAGGATTAATCTTTTTCATTTTTCTGATTATGGTATTCGATAGTGAATACATTGATGAGTATTCAGGTAAAATTACAACGTCAGTGAATGAGAGGTATCGGAGAACTGAGCATCTCAAGTATGGATATTGTAAAAGTAGGTCCCACTTACCCCACCTTACCTTATTCAACTTATCATTTCTCAATAAATTCGTCAATATGTATATGGATGATATTTCTCCGAAGAAATCAATGAGTAATGTCAAAAAAACTTCCAGAGAAACCCAGATATTTCAATTCGGAAACCAATAGTATTTTTTGTTTTTTGAGAAAAATAACTTTTGATCATGAAAAGAAAGTGTGAATAGGATATTTATTTTCATTGCACTAATTCAAAGCACGGTTTCATAATGCATACCATCGAACAATGTTGATTGGTTTGATGAATATACTAGAGTAGAAAAATATTTGGATGACTGTTGAATATGAGCTATATTATAATAGCATGTCAAAATGTCAGGTTTCATTCAGATATCAGATAACAATAATGAATTGAAACGAATAACTGCGTTACCTCAAGTTGGTTGTGCCAGTAATAAGAACATGCTGTTTTATGACGATAGTCTAATAACCACTGTAGAGTGTATTAGTTACTACAACATTTATAATTGGTATAATTCCTATTCGACACTTTGTGTTATCATAGAAACTAGAACAAGTTGTATCTATTCAGCTGCGGTGTTTATACAAGTTTGCAAAGCGAATATGCTGCCATAACTACAAGCCATGCACCTGAAAATTCACTTCATCTATGGTAGCAAATGAACACATCTGTACTCTATTTATTGCAGATATCGTAATAAGGATTATCAGATTTCCAATTATGATAACTCAGGTTTTCTCCCAGTGTACAGCTAGTGGTGGAAAAAAATATTTTTTGGTCTGCAAACGCAATTTTCAACTCAATTTGAAATATTTCGAAACGGTTAGACTTGGGAATAGAACATTATACATGAAACATGTTCAGAATCATGCGTAAAATCTAAAACCTTGATGATAAACAGGGTTCCCCATTTGAAATAACGAAGGTGGGGTCCACTTCTGGTACAACCGGAAGTGCCACAAACTTCAAAACATTTCAGCCGGATAGCACCTATCAACAATAGTGAACTCCCAAATATTCAATTTCGACCCACCTATGATTTTCTATATATTTATCGATGCAATTCCCAGAGGGACACCCTGTACAGCCTTCCAAATTTGCAAATGCATTGTCATTAACATGGGTGTAGATCAATCTCTTCTTCTTTGAATTCCGTGGCCTCAGTATCGTTCCTATCTACCTTTGATATCTGAAACACATCCACATTTGCAATAATTTTTTTTTCAGTCCAACAATAAAAAAGAAGCTGAGAAACTGATCAAGAACATAATCAAAGTTGTCATCAAATTGGGCGTCCTCCACAGAAACAACATGCTCTCCGACGAGGAAATGCAACTGGCCGAGAAATTCAAAGGGAAATTCCGCATAGCCGGGATGGCCATCATATCCTTCTTCGAGGTGGATTTCAGCTACGACGCCAACTACATCGTACGCGCCCTTAGGGAAAGCCAGAAGTGCCTTGAGAGCATCGTCTCGAAACATCTCACCGACAAGTCCGTGTCGAGAATCGACAGCGTGTTCTCCTTTTTCGCGGACGAGCACTTCCTGGACGCGGTGTTCAAGAGAGAATCAGAGTACAGGGAGGCTCTGGGTAGGGTGGTGGCCGATCTGAATAAGGCCATCGACAACGGGGACCTTTAGTTCTTCTTGCGTCTCTTTCGGCCTGATCGAAAAGGTCAGTCATGATGATTCCAAAAGTTTTCAGTAAGAAAGATCGGGAAGAGTGGAAAATTGTATACAGTGTGACTCACTTCTATTGGAAACACCTCTGTATCTCACGTATTCGTTGGGTAAAGATCCTGAAACTTGCTGGAGCGAGAGATATACCAAAAATGCACTCTATGACCAAGTGGGGTCATATTCAGTGATATACACTGCTCGCCAACAGCCATGGAACCAGCCCGATTTCCGGAAAATGATATTAGGAGTCAAAATAGGTTGACAATCTCTTCGAATCATGACGCCCAATACACTAACTATTTATATTCTTCTGGAAACATTTTCAGCTCTGACAATTTCATTTTTGTCTCACTTTTCATGAAAACACCCCTCACTCAAAATTTCACGGGGAAAATCTGAATCGTTAGTGTATTCGGCGTCCTGATTCCGAAACCAAAGTGATTCTCAATCTAGTTTGCCTCCTAATATCATTTTCCGGAAATTGGAGTGGTTACATGACTGTTGGCGAGCAGAGTATATCACTGAAAATGACTCCACTTCGTCATAGAGTACATTTTTGGTATATCTCCTGTCCCAGACATTTTCAGGTTCCTTATCCGACGAATATGTAAGATACAGGGGTGTTTCCATTAGGAGTGAGACACACTGTATTTTGTTTCAATACTCGTATCGTTGTTGAAAAATTGCAATACATGGAAGATTTGTGTTCATTCTTGAGGAAGAAATACCAAATGTTCTGTTCTGTTCTTGAAGTAATGTGAGATATTTCATTTTATTGTTAGATTTTTAGCAAATCAGAAGGTAGTCACGAAATATGTTTTTCATTGACTACACCGGGTGGAACAAACTCATGTTACACTTCTCTACTTTGCTTTTTCAACTATATATCTGAAATGTTGAACATCGAATATGCCACTAAACGGCATTTTCTTACTACCTCAGATTATTTTTCATCTTCCGTTTTCCCGGAACATGATATCAACTTTCGATTTTAAAATGAAACACCCTGTATTTTGTTCCATAATTAGTTAGGGATTATCATGAAGAATTCAACGATACTGGGTTTGATAGTGTTATTTCAAACAATAACGAAGATATTCGCGTTCGAAGTTCACATATTCTTAATGGTTGTGACGGCGCAATATCGAAATTTTGATCGCGAATATCTTAGTTATCCTTTGTTCAATTCGTCATAATACTATCTAACCGAATATGGGATAAAATAAAGGGTGTTCCCTTTGAAAATCGAGAGTTGATGTAATTGTCAGGAAAACTAGGAGATAAAATCCGAAAATGTTAGAAAGTGCCCAGCAAACATTAATACATGGATCTTCAGAGCAAAGTCACATTAGTGAAATACTATTGGCGTATTATTGGCATTTTTCAATGTTCAATCACAAAAGTTGTCTACTGGCCGACTTAACGCGAATATTGGCAAAGCAGTTTCCCATTAATTGCTCATTAATTGTTGGCGCAGTATTTTGAGTGCATTGCCAATGGACATTGAGTGGTTTATTCTTGCACAGAGGAATTTGGAGTTACGTATAGGGAATATTATTTTACTGATACCAATGATAATAATAACAATTTCTAGTATAACTACTATGAAACTCCTTTGTAATCAGTTATATATCCATATCAGATTAGAGATTAACCCGTCGAGATGAGGCTTCGCACCCCTTCGTGGTCACTTTGGAGACCTGCAGAACATCTCTTTCCAAAGACTCGTTCATCCAACGAACAGCGAGGCTCTGGAACACATTGCCGAGGGAGGTGTTAAAGATGTTCTCTGAACATTATAGGATATCTCTTTTCGTTGAAACCAGAACATAAATAAAAATATCTGATCTGGAAAATCGGTCAAGAGTTCACCAATTCCGTTTATGTTGATTGATATAAATTGTAATTTGTAGGCGTCGCCAACTTCTTGAAAATTTGAAAATCTTGTCTTGATCTTGCCTTGATCTCAAGACAACAAGTAATTTATGGAATAGATTTCAAAATAAGTCAAGAAATTTAATGTCAATACGAAGAATTCTTGCAGAGGATACAAGAAATCTTGGAATTTCTAGACTGAGAATAAAAACGCTAAAACGTTCGTTTATCACTCATGATGAAATAAGAGATACTTAATATCACTATGAACTGGCAACATTGCAAGTGCGCGACGTCGTTTGCTCTTGTCATAAAACAAAAATACCGATCGGGGAACCACCAGATTGCTGTGTCAACACGCCACAGGATTGCCAGTTCTACTGAATTTTTAGAAGATCTACCGATTTGCATAGTGATGTACTAATCTATTGGAACATTCCTAATCTACTGAAAAGAATAATGACACTCATTTATTATTATAAAATACTCATAATCTACTTGAAAAAATTGTGACACTCATTTATAATTATAATCACCTATTGATATTGATCCCGAGTTGATCACATATATCCATAATATATTGTTGTTATTTGGGCACGCTCTGTGAAAAAATATTCTGGCGCCACTGATAATGAATTTAAATGCGTCTAGGCGCTTGATATGTTCGTGAAAAAGTACTCACTTTCTTCGCGGGAAAAAAGTAATTTTATGACATTTTGTTACCTGTCAACAGAAGAATACATATATTTTCGACGACATAGGTTCATTTTATTATCCTGAAATTTGTATAGCATAAAATAAATTTACTGAAATCTTCTGAATTTCTGACAAGGTATATATATTGATGAAATAAAAATCGTGGAGGCGTCCATAGCACGCAACGCTATAAAAAGTTCGCCGGGAATCACGATGTACGGTGTCACAGGTCAATCAATAAATTTCAAGATCTTGAAATTTTTTGGGTCAAGACAAAAAATGATATGTCTAAAAAACGTCAAGACAAGATTTTTCGAAATTTCATGACTTTTTTTCCAAGATGAGACAAGAAGTTGTTATCCAGACAAGCATTGTTTTCTTGGTGACCCCTTGTAATTTCTGGGATATCAGGAAGATGGCAAAAACTCAAGAACTAGAATTCAATATTTATGAATTCCAAATAACGTATGAATCACAACTTCATATTCCTGGCCTGCTGCAACAATAGTCAGGTGGAAACAAAGACTCGAGTCTGAGGTAGAAGTAGATTGCTATCAGAATTGAAACTTCAAGGTATAGGTACACAGCACGATGGATGTTCTCGAAGAGGAATATCAGTTCATACAACTTTTTATTTATTCACTTGTTCACTTCACATCTCACAATAAGAATGGCTGAGACGGCTTCTACGTCAGAGGAGAAAAAAACGAACAAAATGGAAGACCTATTGAAAACACATCAATTGTCGATAACCATCGATTCCCCAATGCCATGAAAATAGTGTAATTTTTATCCAACATTCGTATTATATGATTGAAACAGAAATGAACGTGTACTTCATCATCACCGGAAAATATTGCCAGCAGTATGCCATCGATCAAATCAATGGGCCATTGAATCGCCAGCTATGTCGTGTTTGCTGGGTGCCTTCTAGCGAGCATATTCGATGTTCCAAGTTTCAGAAATATAGCTAGAAAAACAAAGGGGAAAAGAGAGTCACCCGGTATACCTATTCTAGTAATGTTTTTTATAAAGACCAATCAGAATCGAACACATTCGAATTTGTAAAAACATTGATTCAGAATCAGTTATTTGAAATATAGAATATGAAAATTCAATTTGATACTAACCATCTTCACAATCAATCAATCAATCAATCAATCAACACATCACATTGGGCAACGATAACTGCAAATTGAAATCTTTGATACAAATGTAAAAATCAAAATCGATATTTAATTTGTTGATTATTCATTATTCAACTATCATGAAACCTTGATGAAATGTATCTCACATGCAGAAATTCTCATACAGTGTGTATGATTCAAACTCGCAACACCCTCCTAATTTCAAACTCAATAATCGATTTTCCAAAACCAAAATTTTATAATATAGTTCGCAACGAGCTCTCTTCGAGGATGTGGACAAATCTGAAATATTCAGATTCTCAAGAGCTACTAGCTAAAATATCCCTACACAAAATTGTAACGCAATATCTACCACAGGATGTTATTCATAGCAAATTTTAACATTTCTGTTTTTTCAATTTATCCTGTATCAAAATTTTATCAGTTGGTATAACCGGTAAAAAAGTCATTCAATGGAAAAACGTAATTACGAAGTTTTATCGTTGTAACTTATACAGGAAAGTCTGTTTAAGTCAACCAAAAATTAAAGAAATCGAAGTTGAAATGTTTCCATTGTGATTATTATTTTTTCCTGAAAATATGTACAATATAGTGACTAGAATTCAAGGAATTTTTCTTTATACTTGCTCACTTGCTATATTTAACTTCATTCAGTTCCGATATTGATTATTTCAAATTCGAATATGTCTATTCTGAATTTGGAGTCGTTTAAATCGATTTTGCAATATTCAGTCCTAAGTGGAAATTGATTATTGCCATTTTGAAAATGATGAGTCTCATCAATTCGAATCAAAGAATAGGGCAGGAGGAAAATCTTACAGTCAACTCCACTAAAACTATACTTTATTTAACATTGGGATTGAAACATGTTTCATAGCTTCAAAGCTTCATCAGCTGAAACTATTTGCTACAGAGTACTACAATAAAAAATACGAAAAACTACGTCAGATGATGAAAGTCAAATAATCCTCACCTGTTCTGGGGAAAATATATTCACATAATCAAAAACCAAAATTTGAATATAAGAAATTGTCAGATTATCAATATCATCATGATTACGAAAGTAGTAAGATAACTTTCTGAAGTCAAAAAATTTCCAACATTGCTCGGCTCGGACAGTCGGACAGTGTATAGTTAAAACAAGGCAAATAGTGTCTAAAATGAAATATCCTTGACGAAGTGAAGTATGACATTAAACATCTTGACGGTGGGGTTATTACTTACTAATGTGTATTAACTATAACAACTTCCTTGATCATGATGGAAATAATAATTTAACAAAGGTGATCCGCAATCAACTGCGGATCCTTCATTTTTATTGGAACAATTTTCAATTGGTAATTTACATTTTGGTTTTTCATCATGTGAAATATTTTTCCTCAGAACAAGTGAGGGTCATTTGA